AAGACGCGCGACCGTTTCTACTGTACGGTCACACGTCTTTTGTCTAAGGAGCATGCTAGAAAACCAGCCGAAAATCTTACGATATTCGGCTGGTTTGAATGATGCTCGGGAGACAAATGCCGAACGGCCAAGATGGGCAGATCATACGTTTTTTTAATTACTTTACAACCATCGCAAGACTAAGGTCTTGCGATGGTTGTAAAGTCTATGGCCATCTTTATTCTGATCAGCCACTCTTATCATTTATACCTGCACACTGATTAGCTAGAAAGCTAATAATATTGTTCAAAGTGTACAGCCACTGCATCACTTCTGCACTCTCAGAATGTGTAGTAGACTGCTCTTTCCTTTTTAATCCCCTCCTGTAAGCCTGCCTATATCAGATGTACCTAAATATACAGTACATTTAAAGGAAATGTTAACTTTCCCTAAAAAGGGAAAATCAACAGGTTTTCTGTAATGTCCTCCTTTCCCAGACAACATACTCACCTTTCTTTCACTTCCCCACCATTCCATTCAAACACCAAAAGTACAGAAATAGCCAGTACCTTCAGTTATAAGAGTATGTGACTCAGTCCCTATCCTCTAACTCAGTGTTCCCCAACCCCCGGTCCGCGGGGGCTGGGGAACACTTTCCCCCCCTCAGCGGGCCACGGTAAAATTATCAAACGTTGACCGGTCCGCGGCGATAAAAAGGTTGGGGAGCACTGCTCTAACTGACTGCCTAAGGCTGCATTCGCACATCGTGTTTGCGGTTCCAGGCACGGTTTTCTGCACAGAAGACAGTGCAGGACGAAAACGCTAATGTTTTTCAATACATGCGGATGCCGCTCGTTTGCGGCTATTAAATAGCGGAATCCGCTGGATTTTCCCGCTTGCACTCTTTCGGGGGCCACACGGCTTCGTGCCGCATGGTCCTTGCAGTGGTGTGAACAATGCACATTAAAGTGCATTGTTTTTTGTGTTTAGGGCGGCTCAGCGCGTATACGTACAGCCGAATACGCGCGGACAGCCAGTCAGGTGTGAATGGAGCCTAAGAGCTGTCACGCAGTCATCAGTCTTGTGTAAGCTCTGATTACAGTAATTTAGAGCTTACACAGTGATTTCTTTCCTTACTCCCTTTAAATGAATGGATCAGAGGGTAAGTGAAGTCCTCAGCCTGCCTACGCTCTGACTAGAGTAAATTGGAGCTTACTCAGGTATTTCTTTCTTTACTCCACGTGAAATAATAGATAATTGGGGGAGTAATGTCCTTAGCCCTGTGTAAGCTCTGATTAGACTAACTTGAGTTTGCTTGGGTATTTCTTACGTCACTCCTTGTAAATGAATGGATCAGTGGAGAGTGAAGTCCTCAGCCCTGTGTAAGCTCTGATTGGAGTACGGTAACTTGGAGCTTACACAGGGATTTCTTTCTCACTCCCTATGAATAAATAAATGAATTAGTGGTGGAGTTAATGGAAAGGTGTGTATGTGCTGCTGGACAGGGAAGTATTAAAGCAAACCTGTTGCTTTGCTGTGCATGGGCTAAGCTCAGGTTTGCTTTAAGGACTTTTGAATTAATTCATAATTAGACTTAATGTTTTATTGATCCTGATAATGTTTTATTGATTACTATACACTATGATTACTATACACCGTAAAAGAAGATTATTTCCTAGCTTGGTTGAATAAATCGGTAGCTCATTCTGGACAAGATCTGGGTGTTCAAGAAGCTGACAAAATACCTAATTCACTTCCTGATTTGATGTTATATTATGTACATCATGTGTCAGTGCCACAGAAGTACGCAAGTAAATGTAGTTAATTGTAGGGCATTGTGCCAGACTGACCAAACCCCGGTCTCAAAGTCTGATATCTGCATGTTATCAGAGAGAAAATGAGAATATAGAAAACACCATTAAAATATATGTACTTTTTGTTCCTAATCAAACACAATGCAGGCTACAAATTCAGTCTAAATATTAAAATTAACCTGTCATTGCTGACCTGATGGTTGCCTGGCTATCATGCTATACAATCAGTATTAGTGATTGCTGAGGCATTCAGCTGAAACAAGTATGCAAGCTAGGAGGTCTGATTCCACTCTGACTTTCTAATCTGGAGGCTTGTTCCAGGTCAAAAAGTATTAATGCCAGCAGACTGGTGTTTTTAAAGGTACAGGTTTTCTATAAATATTTATGGCATGATGCTAAATATAAGGCAACCTTTTTTCCTTGGGGGTCAACACAACCAACTAGCACTTTCATAGTATGGACATATTTCTGCGGGCTATAGACAGTGTACGATGCAAAGTGCCATGTTTAATGGGCATGGTAAAAGGTAGAAGTTCATAGCGAAGAACTCTGGCAAATTATAAATTAACCCTAGCAGTGGAGCTACCCCTGCACTGCAAGGTTTAAGCACTTGTTTTGGTCTAGGGTCTGAAATAACAAGATATACTCAACTGATCCTCGATCTGGTGATAGGGACCCCTCACCTTTCTCCCTGTCAGCTCCGGCTGTGTTATATCCCTTGGTGTCCTCACGTCCAATGCAAATCATTGGACCTGTATTAAACGTGATAGCGGTAGCTATAGATCAGCATGTGTCACTGACTGTGGATCCTACTTTGATCAATGTCTGAAAGGTGAAGTATCTCCACTAAGGATACCAGCCCAACATACAGGGAGGGGGGTTAACTAGTAAAATTTAGTATGGGGCCCCCCTCAGCAACCTGCCCCAACCAACAGTCTTCTCTTCAGCTCTCTTCCTGCTGGCTCTGACGTCAGAGCTGAAGAAGAGATCACTCTGCCGCTGGTTTGCTACACTGCGGCTGCCTGGCAGGCAGGGCTGGATCAAGAGCATCATGGGCCTGGTGCTGAGGATTTTGGTGGGCCTTTTTTATAGAAATGTCAGCGGTCACTGGGGTCCTATTCCTCCTGTCTGGGCTGTGATTTGTAGTCTATCTACAGCTTGGAGTCAGTGGTGGAGCACCAGGGCACGGTTGCAGCTACTGCCACTCCAAGCTGTAGAGTGAATACAAATCTCTACAATACATTATACAGCAATGCAGAATAATACCACCAACTATAGAGGACTACAAATCCCACCAATACATTATACAGCAATGCAGAAGAATACCATCAGCTATAGATTACAAATCACAGCAATACATTATATAGTAATGCAAAATAAAATGAAGCTACATACTCTATGTTGCTCCGGGTTTGCGTCCTCATGTCTCCAGGGTCTCTAGAGGGCTGTGCAGTCTCTAAGGTGGTCAGTGTGGGCTCTCAGGTGGTCAGTGTGGGCTCTCAGGTGATCAGTGGGGCTCTCAGGTGGTCAGTGCATGCTCTGAAGTGGTCAGTGAATGCTCTGAGGTGGTCAGTGCCGGCTCTGAGGTGGTCAGTGAGGGCTCTCAGGTGGTCAGTGGGGACTCTCACCTGGTCTCCACAGCATCGCACTGGCGGCTGTGGGCTCAGCAAATGAGGTTCTCTATTTAGGCAGCCACTCATTCCTCACTAGGGCCCCTGAGAGGCCCCATTGAGCATCTTCCTAATGTGCCTGAATAGAGGATCATCGCTGCCTGAGTGCGGCTGGCCCAAAGTGCCTTAAGCCCGCTCCTGACAGGGCTCCCCTCTGCCCCGGGCCCCATAGCGACTGCATAGGTCGCTATGGCGGTAGTTACACCACTGCCAACATATCTTATTAGTACTGGCCTGGGTGGAAAATGAGGTCAGCCCAGTTCTACCATTCTGAAATTATAGTCAGAGAATCACAAAACAGTTGACTTTTAGATGTCCTATTGGTATTGTTGGATAGAGACTTTCAAATTAAAGTATATATAACATATTGTCACTTATTTCAAATGCAAGATGTGTTAACTAGCACTGGAAATGATCAATTGCAAAATACATAAGCTTGTACCTGGTGTCTTTGCACGTAATATGTTGTACAATCTCAAAACGGGTATTACATGTAACATAGTTTTTCATACCCAAGTACAAAAATTACTACCTGTTGGCACATGGTTGTCTATTGAAAATGTTCATGCTTAGTTCCTGTTTACCTAAGAACCAATTATTCTTTTGGATGAGAATTTTTCTTGCAGGTTATTAGCTGATTATGCAAAACAGATGCTGCACTGGCACACTGCTGATTAGTAGTCCCTGTGCACATACTGTCTCAAAGAACACAGCCAATGTCGCAAAGAACACAGCCAATAACTTGCTATATATGAAATGGAAACATTTCCTAAACAGGCTTTCAAATACACTGGTACCTCGGTTCACTAACTTAAATTTGTTCACGATTCTGGTCGCGAACAGAATCAAATTTTCCCATAAGGTTCAATGTAAATAAGGTTCATCTGTTCTGAACCATATGTAAATTTTTTTTTTAACCACAAAAATATGAAACAAAGTACAGTACAGTACAGTATGAAGAGAGTGAACACTAAAGGTGCCCATACACCTTACAATTATCTGCAGATTTTCTGTGGTCAGATGGAAAAAGTGCAACAGATTGGCCCAGGTGGAGATTACTCTATCCACACAGTTAAGTGTAGATGGAGGAATCTGTTGCACCTTTTCCATCTGACCACAGAAAATCTGCAGATTATTGTAAGGTGTATAGCCAGCTTAACCCTTGCACTTTCTTTGGAGACATGCTGGATTAAATAATACTGTACGGTACTGTGTGTGCTAAAAAGCAAACAGAAAAGCTTCACAGCAAGTGTGCACAGGTCTGTCTGCGACCGCAATCTCGACTAGAGGAAGCCTAGACCACGTGTCAGAGTGGGGAAGATGGCCGCGGTCGTGTTCGTCACCCGATTTGGATATCGCAAACGGAAGCAACATTTTGCCAAACTTCCTGTTCGGGAACTGAATTGTTCACTAACAGAAGCGTTCATGAACCGAGGTATTACTGTACCTAAGTACTTGCTACATGCACACATAGACAAAACAATGTTTACTGTTGAAATGTGAAATAAAAAGATTAATATTGTGCATTTATTTCCAGGAAAACTGTAAAAATGAAGAGATTCTGAATTCCTTAAAATACGTTCGACCAGGTAACGGCTTTGAACCTGGTTTCACTCTCTTCCAAAAATGTGAGGTCAATGGGAAAAATATTCATCCAGTCTTTGCTTACTTGAAGGACAAGCTACCTGCACCCGAAGATGAGCCATCTGGTCTGATCAGTGACCCCCGATATATTGTATGGAGCCCTGTACACAGGTCTGACATATCCTGGAACTTTGAGAAATTTCTAATTGGCCCAGAAGGAGAACCTTTTAAGCGCTACAGTAAAAACTTCCAAATCATCAACATAGAACCCGATATCCAGAGGCTCTTAAGACTTGCCAAATAAAGTCATTCATAATGCTTTCAGTTGGCCAATGCCATTGGTCAGTTTCATGTATCGGTTCTAACCAACATCTTTCTATTCAATCACCTTCAGCTCCACTCAGTGCTTTCAGTATATTCCATGCGCTAATGTAGGGGTGTCAAAATAAAGGACCAGGTCATCCAAAACTTACCAATAGAGTTGCCGAGAAACAAAATTATTTGTCACATGGTTTACTTCTACCAAAATTGAAATACTGGTTTTGGGTGGCTTTGACTTTTATGTTGAAATCTTCCACATCAGCCAAGGAACATTCATATTAAGCTAGGCAAAAAGAATCTTCCACAGACAACAACGCAAAAAAAAAGGTTCAGGTTGGATTGGGTGACAGCATTAATTTTTTTCAGGCATAGCTGACATTTCTCGGCTCTGGTGTGAGGTCTCTCCTACAAGGGGTTGTGACGTTACAACATTCTCATGAGATTGGGTGAAGATTATGAAGAGATAAAAGGTATATTTGTTTAGTCATGAGTACCAATTATTTTGGTTTTTACAAAGTTCTTGCCAGGTTTTAAAAATGGGGCTCACATCGGCCTGGTTCACACCAAATGCAGAGCGAACCGCTCAGGTTTCTGCACACGCAGTGCAGTGGGTTGTGCCTCGTTTTTGATGCGTTCCGGGCCGTTTTTGGTAAGGCTGGGTTCACACCTAGGCATATCGAATATGCTCGTTTGTCGTGCATTTTGTGCCGCGCGTTTTTACCTGGCTACCTGGCTGTATCCCAAAGCTCCTGTACTTCTTTGGGCATAGGGCGCTTTGCAGCGCGTTTCCTACGCGCTGTAAAACGCCCAGGTGGGAACCATGCCCATAGGCAATCATTGATTTTCACATGTTGAGCATTTTACAGAGCGTAGGAACGCGCTGTAAAACGGCCAGGTGTGAACCAGGCTTAAAACATTTTTTTTTTTTAGTTTAACATGGGCTTTCAGTGCGTTCCAGGCATTTGCATGCATTTTTTATGTGTTTGCATGCGTTCCAGAGCAGGTCAAATAGGGCTTGCTGCAGTTTTTTTCACCTGCTCTGGAACTGCACGCTGCGATGTGAACTGGAGCAAAGAATACCATTGGAATACATTGGACGCAGTTTTGATCCGGTCTGCATCTGCTCGGCACCTGCTCCGTGCTTGGTGTGAACAAGGCCTAAGGCCCTGTTCACACCTTTACGTTTTGTCGTGAGTTCAACGCTCTATGAACGCTCTACAAAATGTACAAACTTGAAAATCCCATTGTTTTCTATGGGTATGGTTCACACCTTTCCGTATTTCAGCCCGTCTGAACGCCCTACAAAACGGCCTACGCCCAAAGAAGTACATGTACTTCTTTGGGGCGTTTTGGTCTCGCGTTTCCATTGGGATACAGCCAAGTAGCCCTCGGAAACGCGCGTTTGTCTACCGCGAATCGCGGAAAAAACGCGCGACAAACGCGCATATTCAATACGCCTAGGTGTGAACCCAGCCTAAGCTTTGCCACCTGCAGTGATACAATGTATGCAATAAAAGGATAGAGCGGAGAGAAGGAGAGGCTGCAGCAAGACACCGAAGTCATCGGAGAGAGTTCAATTAAACAGAGGATAGCAGTGTACTGGGTTCTGATTAAATGCAGCCTGTTAATTCTGGGTTTGTCTGTGCTTAATTACAAGTGAAAATGCAGCATATGCTATGTCTTAAAGCCAGTAAAAAAGTACTTACTATTTTGCAAGTGCACCTATATGTTCTCTATTCACTCTTGGCAATTGTATTAAAGTGTATGGTCAAATCCTTTTTTTTGGGATAGAGTGGGAAGAATTTAATGCTACCTTGTGGTCGGTTAGAGGGATATTCCCTCCCTTACTGTCACGGTGATATTGGTTTTACCAGACAGGAAGCGATTGAAAAATTCCAATAGGGACTCAAGCAGCAAAAAGAAAGTTGACATTGGGTTCCTTCCATTAAAGGAGAACTATGGGGTAAGTGTTTTTCCCCATAGTTCTCTTAAGGGTCACGGGAGGAGATATACTAACCTCCTCCCATGACCCAAAGCTCAGTATATCGCGAGCTAAAGCTTGCGGTATACTGAGACCGCTGCAGCCGGGACGGATCCCGGCATTATTGTCGAGATCCACCCAGCTGCGTGAGTGGCAGCTGGCTCTGCCTATCTAGAGGCAGCGCCAGCTGTACCCATCCCCTCCCCCAACCGTTCCGCCAGTCAGCACTAGAGGATAGGAGCGGGGAATCCCTGCAGGGAGCCGTGACTGACATTCACAGCTCTCTGCAGGGAGATGATCGAGAAGTGAGCGAGCGACGGTATGTGTTCGCTCACTTCCCGATCTATTGAGCCGACGTGTGACAGTTTCATTGTCACACGTCGGCTCGAACTATGAGGGTGAGTGAAAATCACTCACCTCATAGTTCTCCTTTAAAGTGACTAAAAATCACATCAGCACGCTGATATGAAATCATCTTACTTTCATTAGCTAAAAAACATATATTTATTTTACTTACAATTTCTTTTTTTTCACTTCTTGGTCCACTTTGGCACAAATTATGTAATGTGCCCAAGCATTGCATCCTGGGAAGATTGTATCAGTAGATCAGGCATTTCCCTTCCCTGAGATGATGTGCATGGTTACATGTCCTAGTCATATGTGCCAGAGTTCCAGGAAGTAAAGGAAGATCTAGTTATCTGCCCTTAGTTAAAATAGCCACTGTCAGAAGACTAAGGAAGAAAAGAAAATAAGGTTTGCAAAAAATAAAAAGCTGTCAATTATCTAAAAGTATGTGTTTGTAGATTGTCATTACTAAACATTTCTAAAGGTGCATTTTTTGTTATTTTGAAGATATGGGTACAGTTCCTCTTTAAGAACAAACTAGAATTTTTTTTATGTCTGTCTGTGTTATGGTTGCACATTTTTCTTTACTCCCTGGTTTGTAAATCAGTTGTCACTGGGACACCTTTGGCTGGACTTACACTATAATACTATTTATTAGGAAAAAGTCACAATAAAATTGTGTGTTCATTGTGGTATAACCCCTTCAAGAATTGCGTGCAATGGACAAATATACCTTTCTCCATTACTAAATATTGTTCTCATTGAAAAGCAACTTGTGTTCAGATGTTAGACTAATACTAGATGACTGTATTCTTTTAAATCCATAATGGAAGGGTACAAGAATGTTGTATCAGGACAGTGTCTGAATACTGTTGTATTGCAGCTCAATAAACTCTTATAAAACTGTCTTTTTTTTTTTCCATCACTGAAAGGATAAGATTTCAAACCTAACAGCACCAAAAAAGAGCATTCAGCTCACAGTCCTGGTGTTCACCTATATGGAAAGTTTGCATTGTGGTTGGTGGCATAAAGAAAACCTGCCATGACAGAAACATGGAGGTTGTCATTACTCCTGCTGAAAATGCTAGTTGTTTGCCTAGCCTACTGAATCCAGAAGACAATAGGTAGATATATGCAAACCATTAGTCATTGATTGTTTCATGTACTACATGTTTCAATGAGTCCAGATTCACACTGTTACCACATGCATATTAAAAGGGAAATTCCACCTTTGCAAAAATAAACGAAAAATAATAAATGCACACTTCTAATTTAAAACATTTTCATTTATGATTTTTTTGCAAAGTAACCAATAAAGCATTGCAACCACAATCAGTAGACCAGAGTGAAGGTGCCCATACACCTTACAATTACCGTGTTTCCCTGAAAATAAGACACTGTCTTATATTTTTTTTGGCTCAAAAAAACACACTAGGTCTTATTTTCGGGGTAGGTTTTATTTTTATTTGTTTTTAATGTATAACAATCCAAAGTTAATGCAAATCCAAATTAAATAATCCAAAATGGCAAAGTTAAGAATAGGGTGATCAGGGCAATCAGGGGTGCCGAACCTTTCCAAGAGCAATTTGGTAACCAGTAAAAGCGAAGCGCATTTTAACTAGCGATTCCTCACAGGCGGAGTGCATTTGGTATCACTCCGCCTATAGAGGAAACATCAGCTTATGCGGCTCTGCTCCCTGTGCTGCCGCCTCGCTTCCTCTAGTGCTGGCTTCATTGGCACCGCTGATTCTCTCCCACGGCTCTTCAGGTTCCCCCTTATGCCACCACCAGCCCTGGCAATGGTCACAACTAGGTCTTATTTTCGGGGTAGGTCTTATATTTTAGCAATTCCCAAAAATAGTACTAGGTCTTATTTTCCAGGTAGGTCTTATTTTCAGGGAAACAGGGTATGTGCAGATTTTCTGTGGTCAGATGGAAAAAGTGCAACAGATTGGCGCAGGTGGAGATTACTCCATCCACACAATCAAGTGTAGATGGAGGAATCTGTTGCACCTTTTCCATCTGACCACAGATGGAAAAGGTGTCCAAATCGGCAGATAATTGTAAGGTGTATGGCCAGCTTAAAGCTGGCCATACACCTTACAATTATCTGCAGATTTTCTGTGGTCAGATGGAAAAGGTGCAACAGATTCCTCCATCTACACTTAACTGTGTGGATGGAGTACTCTCCACCTGCGCCAATCTGTTGCACTTTTTCCATTTAGGTGTTCCTCCCATCCATGTCCGTTGCGAGGTACAGAAGTCCAGTAACGTGGACAGAAGCAAGTTTCGATGGAATACAAGTGCAGTGACATCGCTGCACTTGTATTCCAGTGAAGCTACTAGCCCCTCTGCTGTGGTGGCTGATGGGACTTGTAGTTTCTCAATTCACAGATTCTGTCAAAGGATCTGTGGATGGCTGACTCAGCTGTGTGGGCTATGCACAACCGTGCCTAATTCGAAAAGGGAACCCAGCCTGCGGTAAGAAAAAACCCTGCAATTTGGGTAAGCGGGGGATTGAAGGAGGGTGGGTTTCTGCGATCTGGGTGTTAGATGAAATATAGTCAGAAAGGTGCACTTAGCCTGTAAGGTGCAATATGTCATGCAGTAATGTGGTAAGGCAGCCCATTCATTTGGAATAGGCTGTCACTCTGGCT